ATATATATATACAAAGACAAGCCATACGTGTTACCAATTACTCTTTGTGCGACGAGCTCTTGTGAAGGACCTGGAGGCAGAGTTGTACTTCTTTTTGGGTGCGCTAGTGGGGGATGAATGGGCCGCTACCAGTAAGCCAAGGCCATATAAGACTCCTGCTTTTGCTGCGACGCAATTTTGCAGGAGCGTCCAAACTAATACTGGGATCTGCCGCCTGTAGCCACAATGGATGACGGAATCAACAGGGCCCCAGGCAATGAGATGCAGTCTTCAACAGGTAAGCATGTAAACAATGACTGCACATCAAAACTGACCATAGTTTCATTGTCTGCCAGATGTAGGTCTTTAATCTCGCTGACAAAATGGTAGGAATCCTTTATGTGTGCTCTTGTATGTCCTCTGAGTGGTGAGAGTATTTTCGCTAAGTGTTGAGCCAATCTGTAAGTTGGTGAATCGATTTGGCTCACTATGGGACGTAATGGAGCATTGGGCTTGTGTATTTTTGGTAACCCATACAATTTTGGTGATTTGGCGCACGTAGGTATTATCCATTTTACGTCCAGATTTAATTTTTCGGAGTGTTTCTTTATGAGGTCACTAGTTGTTTTTAGTGTGCTATTTGTTGGGTTGTTTTTAACCTTTTTATAAGTACTTACATCCGACAAAATTAAATGTACAAGCTTGATTGTGAATGTGGTCTCTCCTACATAGGACAAACTAAAAGATCAATAAAAACCCGCGTTAAAGAACATATAGCTGATGTGAAGAATCGACGCTCCGGGAAGTCTGCAGTTTGTGAACACGTACAGGATCGCCCCCGTCACTACATCAGATTTGATAGACCGCAGATCCTCGCTAAAGAACACCGATTCCTTCCAAGGATGATTCGCGAGGCTATTGAAATCAAAAAACATCCTAATTTCAATAGAGAAGATGGCTGGGTGCTACCATCTGCTTGGGATCCTATAATAAATAAAATTAAATCCCAACCCAAGCATACAACTGCAAGACTTCAAGATACCATAAGTTCATACTGCATAGATCGGAACAAAAGTTAAATTTTAATCTATGGTAACCGCGGTTAACTATGACATATGGACGTTGAACATCTCAGTCCTGCCCGTGACCATGAGTGCTGTAAAGCGTTCGAAACGTCGGGTATTAAAAGTTAAATATACGCGATAAATTCCGTAAAAACTAGTATTATTTCAATGTGTAGTGTTCGCGTAAATATAAGAAATCATTATGTAAACCAGTACGGACTGGTAATTGCAAATAAAATACGCCGATTAGAAGATCTAAAGACCAAGCGCGCAAGATATCTAACAGCCTTAAATTTCTTGAAGAGATGCCGTGACCATAATCTCATTCCTACGTGTGTTAAAATATCAACCAAAAAGGACATTCGAGGAAGCGCTAAGATCTTAAACCAGGCGAGTAAAAAGTTGTTACGGACGGTAATCCAACAAAAATGCTCCGATCTATATGATATAAATAAATCCATAGACACATCATCCAGTGAATTGAAGAAAGTTTTAACGACGTTTGACTATAATTTTTGCATGGAAACATTAAATAAACGCGAAATTAGTAAATATAATGAATGCAAAAACAAACATATAGAAAAATATCAAAAATTAACGAACAAGTCATGTCAAACATCTGAATCAATGCCAGAACCGAAAGCAACCATTGACAAACATAGATCATAGATTAATCGCGTTTTATAATCGTTCCAAACAAACACTGGATGATGCAACAATTAGGGTTTTATCCAAAGGCCTCAACTTTGCAATTACACCCCGCAAATTACCGTACGAAGAAATTATCTGTAGTGTCGAGGACTGTTTATTTAAAAACAATATGCGGAAAGAAGATTTGGAGGCGATACGTCAAGACATCTCGTCTATGTTACGTCGATGTTCAGTGCCTAAACCGAATCTTCCCAAAGACGAATTTATAGCGTTAAAGAACTTACGCAATAAACACGAACTTACGATTCTCCGCGCAGATAAGGGAAACGCCACGGTAGTCATGGATACGTCAGATTATAATTCTATAATACAAGAACTTTTGTCGGATGTAAGTACTTATAAAAAAGGTTAAAAACGACCCAACAAATAGCACACTAAAAACAACTAGTGACCTCATAAAGAAACACTCCGAAAAATTAAATCTGGACGTAAAATGGATAATACCTACGTGCGCCAAATCACCAAAATTGTATGGGTTACCAAAAATACACAAGCCCAATGCTCCATTACGTCCCATAGTGAGCCAAATCGATTCACCAACTTACAGATTGGCTCAACACTTAGCGAAAATACTCTCACCACTCAGAGGACATACAAGAGCACACATAAAGGATTCCTACCATTTTGTCAGCGAGATTAAAGACCTACATCTGGCAGACAATGAAACTATGGTCAGTTTTGATGTGCAGTCATTGTTTACATGCTTACCTGTTGAAGACTGCATCTCAATTGTAACTAGAAGGCTGGAAGAAAACAATATGCCCGTAGAATATGCAGTATTACTCAGACACTGCCTTACATCTGGCTACCTATTGTGGAAGGAGGAGTTCTATAAGCAAGTAGATGGTGTGGCGATGGGCTCACCTGTATCTCCCATTGTCGCCGACATATTCATGGAAGACTTTGAGGAGAAAGACCTGCTTAGTTCTCCCATAAATCCAAGGTTCTACAAGCGGTACGTAGACGACACTTTCACAATTCTACCTTTAGATAAAGTAACTGCATTTTTAGACCATCTTAACTCTATAAATTGTAAAATTCAGTTCACAATGGAGTTAGAGGCAAACAATTCCTTAGCTTTTCTAGATGTGTTAGTAATTCGGAATCCTGATAACACCTTGAGCCATACTGTGTATAGAAAAAAGACCCATACAGATAGATATTTAAACGGTGATTCTCACCACCATCCTTCACAGTTAGCTACCGTGGGTAAATCTTTGTTTCAGAGAGCACGAGGGATCTGTGACAGTAAACACCTGGCTGCAGAGCTCCACCATGTCAAGCAAGTTTTGCATGACAACAAGCTTCGAGTCCCGCGCCTACGTCACAGTGAACGAGTGAAGCCGGCCACAGTCGAGCGTGTACCTGCTGTACTGCCATATGTTAGAGGAGTCACTGACAAGATTGGCTACATCTTGAAGCGCGCTTCCATCAAAACATACTTCAAGCCGCTGAAGAAGATTGGTCAGTTTTTACCATCGGTCAAGTGTAATGTCCCTCTGCAAGATGCAGGAGTGTACAAGCTTGATTGTGAATGTGGTCTCTCCTACATAGGACAAACTAAAAGATCAATAAAAACCCGCGTTAAAGAACATATAGCTGATGTGAAGAATCGACGCTCCGGGAAGTCTGCAGTTTGTGAACACGTACAGGATCGCCCCCGTCACTACATCAGATTTGATAGACCGCAGATCCTCGCTAAAGAACACCGATTCCTTCCAAGGATGATTCGCGAGGCTATTGAAATCAAAAAACATCCTAATTTCAATAGAGAAGATGGCTGGGTGCTACCATCTGCTTGGGATCCTATAATAAATAAAATTAAATCCCAACCCAAGCATACAACTGCAAGACTTCAAGATACCATAAGTTCATACTGCATAGATCGGAACAAAAGTTAAATTTTAATCTATGGTAACCGCGGTTAACTATGACATATGGACGTTGAACATCTCAGTCCTGCCCGTGACCATGAGTGCTGTAAAGCGTTCGAAACGTCGGGTATTAAAAGTTAAATATACGCGATAAATTCCGTAAAAACTTTTCAGTATTATTACGAATACCGATTGTTATTTACAACATTTCACGTTTACATGACATCAAATAAATTAAATATACCATCTTAATAAGTTTTATTTAAAAATTATGCTTAGGCGATGAAGAGATGATTGGATGATTGGATTGGACGCTGGGCCCTCTTTTACGCGGAGCCCGTAGCAATTGGTACTCTTGCTACGTGGTTAATCCGGCACTGCTGTTGTCACAAGTATAAAAGGTATTCACATATTGACCAAAAATTGCAAGTTGTCTTGATAATAGTTTTAATTTATCTTAGGACCGATTTTTCAATCATCGAATAAACGTTATCTATAAAATAAATTATTAATACAACTGTAACTTTTAACTTTTTATGTTAAATTATATCTCCTGATTGAAAAATTGACCCACAGCCTATTAATACGCTATGAAAACTTTCCATTACTTTTTAACTTAACTTCACATTAAATATTAGCAGTTTTATAATTGACTAGCGAAGCGCCCCAGCTTCGTCTGTATCTATTAATGTAACTTCTTTTTATAAGAGAAGGGTGACAAACGAGCACACAGTCCATCTGGTAAATGTTTGCTATGGCCCATAGAAATCTACGTCTAAACTCGATAATCAATATACAGATGCATTGTCAACCCTGAGGACTAAGATGGAATGCCTCCTTTCCATTAAAAAGGATCTCCGATTCTCTACACACACCATACGAAGCACAGGAGCGTTAAGCTGCTATTTTACGATGGTATTCTGTGAGAGCGTGGTCCTTCCCTGGTCGAGCCAACCCATTCGTGCTACAACTATACTACTAATATAGCTGCGGTATGGCTCCACCACGTAAAAAATCGCTGTACGCATTACTTGTTTTTTGCAATCTTGCTTAGTGAGATGGTTAATAATTTTTGGTAAAGAAAACTTTTTAAATTAAACGTCAACATCAAACGAAATCAACACATCAATTTGGAAATTCCATTGATTTAATTTTTTTTTCTGCGTATTGATTGTTAAGGTCAATATTTCATGAGACGCCTGACTAATAAAGAGCCCTACATGCCCGAGCTTTGCTCAAAAATATTATTCTTACAGCATTTAAAATAATACAAAACTGTTATCAAATTAACTTTTGAATACAGAAACAATAATGTATTGTTGGAAGTCAAATAATCCTTAAGCACTATAATTTTAAAAAGTTTGACAAGAATTTATCGCCTAAAATATAAAGATTTATAGTTTATTACCGTTGCTAATTTATCGATATCATCTTCGGATGCTCCAAGGGAAGCTAAACCTAGTTCTTGGGAGAACTGGGCGAAACTTGGATTAGCTAGCAAAGGCATATGCCCCAGAAGTTCATGGCAGCAATCTCTGTAAATAACATATTAATTATAAATTATTCAATAGCTTTCTTAGCTTATTCAATAAGTAGTGGACCTCAGGGATGCATCATATTTAATTTTAAACTAATATTTAAAGGAGGTCTCCCTTTATTATACAAAAACATGAGGAACCTATTCATCGTAAGTAAAACTGTATTCTTAGGAAATATTAGATTTCAAAGATAAGCTGGAGTCCTTTAATTGAATCGGCAATGTAAATTTACGCCATGCCGACAAGGCGTGTAGTGGTGGCGTGAGGGAATTTATTTCTCGACTCGTAAAAGGTGACTATAGGAAATCTCAGGAATAAAGACTTCCAGGTAGATAGACAGTGGTATAACTATCTCCTTTATGCTGGACGTAACATATCTTGACCTGTGAATCTTGTGGCATGTGGGCTGATAATTAGAAGAAATTAAAATACTTTTATGACGCTCTAAACTAAAAAGCCTCTATATTAAAGTAATAAAAATGCTTAATGTGATACATTTCTCAAAGTACATCTTGTTAACGAGCATTAAAGTAACTGTAAGCTGTAAACCTACCACAGGCAATAATTGCATTATGAATAAAACTGTTAAAATATCAAAATAGCCACTACTGAATACTAAAATATTAATGGATTTCGTAAAATTAATATTAATACTCACGGTTCCGGTGTATAAAAAGGATCTGATGAATGGCGTATATACTGCGTGCAATGAAATACGCGGAAAGCTAGACCAGAAAGAAAATCTCTTGGAGAAAGATAGCCTGCTACTGGACGGAGCTGAAAGCCAGTCTTGCGTTTCAGGAATACACTGACATCTTCCAGCTGTAAAAGCAGTATGAAAAAATGTACGACTTTTGTTTATTTTTTGGATTAATCAGTTTTATATAATATATTTATTTCATTGTATATTATATATTTACTTTCAACTGCACGTTTATTTACAAAAGACAGATATCAAATAGACCAAATGTAAAATAAATCTTTTGCCTTAACGTACACTCCAGACCGTAGATTACTGTGTATATACTAGCTCCAGACACTATTTTATAGCTCATTCATTCTAGACCTGTCAATAGTTAGTTTTAGCAACATTTTAAAATTCTTTGGTGACAATTTCTACTCTGTACTACTATTTTACAACAGTAACCAAACACTGTTTTGTGCTTGACATTGGCATTATGAACGTAAACAATTAGTAGTTTATTTTATTTATTTAATGTATATGTAACACATATTTTAAATAGATTTCAGCTTTCTGCACTCGTCCTCTATTAAAAATTAAACCATTTAAATCTCACTCCCACGGCGACATACCATTTATTAGCTTAATTATCAGATCAGTTAACGTAAAAAATTATAACAATAAAGAAAGGTACCCGTCTATCAATTTGTGGTCGAGGTATATATTATCTAAGATATGTTGTTTTGCCTTATCTTACATGCTTGTATTACAAGCTAGATACATTTCAAGGAATTGAAATGAATAATTAACTAATTTGAATAAATAAATAAATCCGCCGATTAGTTACAGTACCATTTACAACATCTGGATGCTTGGCGGTCTATCACTGTGCGTTTTACTAGCAGTTTTCTTCCTCGTATGACTCTTTATGAATCGTCGAACTCTACATAACTTGTTATAATTCTCACATTTGTTAACATTCCATTCACATAAAATAGTTTTGTACGAGTTTCCCAATAACCATATTTTTATACTTTAAATCCATATTTTATTTACAACAAATTTCTAATGCTTTTACGAATTGAGCAATCTAGTGTACTACTTCCCGAAGATATTTGTGTACTTATATGGCGGAATTTCCTTCAATAAATTTCAAGAATCGATATATTATCTTCGAAAGTGATTACTAAATTACTACCTAGGCTGAACTAAAAGTATCGGGAATGGAATATTTCCACTGTTCCTGTCATATTAAAATCTTTTAATTTGAAAACTCCCAGGTTTAAAAATCGAATACCATTTATTTATTTAAAAAAAAAGATTCTCGGTCTTGTCACAAGGTTTTGTCAAACTTGTTTAGTCGTTGAGAAAATAGAATTGACTCGAGAAAATTCAAGAGCGATGATTTATTATGACTTTCGAAGTGGTTTTACACCAAAACAGTGTGTTGACCGGATGATTTCTGCATTTGGTGATGAAGCCCCATCCAAAACCACAATTTTTCGCTGGTTTGCTGAATTTCAACGATAACATGTCAAGCTCAGTGATGATCCTCGTCAAGGTCATCCAAAAACTGCAGTCACCCAAGAAAACGTTGATGCTGTGCGTAAACTGATTGAGGAAGATCGACATGTGACATACCGCGAAATTCAGGCAACTCTACATTAGCATGAGTCAAATACAAATAATCTTGCATGAACAATTAGGTGTAAATAAGTTGTTTTCTCGATGGATACCGCATTCGTTCTGTGAAGAGCAAAAAGCGACTCGCATTACTTGGTGCGTAAGAACTCTCGAAAGATTCCACACAGGATCATCAAATGCTGTATACAACATCGTATTAGGTGACGAATCCTGGATATATGCGTACGAATCCGAAACAAAATACTAGTCACGAGTTTGGGTGTTCGAAAATGAGTTAAAGCCAACAAAAATTGTTCGTTCACTGAGTGTTGCAAAAAAAATGGTGGCCACGTTTTTCTCCAAAACCGGCCATGTTACGACTATTCCTCTTGAGGAACAAAAAACGATTGATCGAGAATGGTATGCTAGCATTAGTTTGCCACAGGTTGTTTTTGAACTCCGTAAAGAGAACTGCAACCGCCGCATCATCCACGACAATGCGAGTTCTCACACCGCACACAGAACAAAAGAGTTTTTAGAGCAAGAAAACATAGAATTATTAGACCATCCGCCGTTCTGCCCCGACCTAAGCTCTAATGATTTCATTACTTTCCCTAAAATAAAGAATAAATTGCGTGGACAGAGATTTTCATCACCTGAAGAAGCTGTGGACGCCTACAAAACGGCCATTTTGGAGACCCCAACTTCCGAATGGAATGGTTGCTTCAATGATTGGTTCCATCGTATGGAAAAATGTGTCAAATTTCGCACAGAAAACTTCGAAAAGCAATAAATAGATTTTTAAATAGTATTGTTGTGTCACTTCCTTGATTCCTGAAATTTTCAGTGCCGCCCTCGTATATAGATTAGTAATTAAAAGTGTTGGTAAAAGTAAATACACCATAAAGATTTACAGTTTTTATGGCAATACTTTAAACTGCTCTCCTAATTATGAAAAGCTCTTTTAAATTCTAGTTTTTTCTCTAGATGAAAAGGTTCTAAAATGAATCTAGACTATGTGCCCCAGTAGACTGAATATATTAATGAACCTTTGAAGGCTGTTGCGGTTCTTCCTAAAATGAAGCATTTCTTGGAATATTTTACAATACTCATTACGCTCGATAGGTGGGTTAGTTAGTAAAGTGCTGATGTGCGATTTGACCTCTCCTGTTGTAAGGGTACATACTTATAAGGACCACGGATTGGAGATCGATAGTCTGGATATCTTATACCTTTGAATGAGCAATTCTTATATATATATATATATATATATATTAGATATATATATATATATATATATATATATATATATATATATATATATATATATATATAATCGTAATCTCGGAAACGGCTCCACAGGACACTAATTTTCATGAAAATTAATGTCCTGCGGGTTTCGGGGGCAATAAATCGAACCAGCTAGGATAATTTTTTATAAAATGTCGTTTTATCCGTGTTATCAGGCAATGAAAAATGCTACAATATCATTAGAATACGAAGGCAAATCAATGTGTTATAGGTTATAATAGCTCAAATGGTATATCGGGCGGTCACGGAATCGTAATATCCTCTTTCGAGTCCAGGTGTCTTCGGTCCCACTTTTTTTCAAGTTCCCTTCTTTTGTGAGAAAATCTATTATTTCGAGTCTAGTATTTTTTAAACACGAAAAATTTAATTAAGCTAATTGCACTCATGATTTCTTATTTATATAACCAGTTCAGATTTTTCTATTATATCGGTAAGATCGAAAAATATTATTCATTTTCATCAGTATGTAATTTGTGAAAAAAAAATACCGAGCAAAGCTCGGTCAACCAGGTACTTTTATATATTAAACGTGATGGTTAAAACACCGGCATTTCTCATAGTCGCCTCTTGCGACACTTTGGGACGAAATAAGGTGACTTGTTTCCTTACGCACACACCTCACGGCAATCAGTTTTTTTTATTAATAATAGTATTTATTATAATCCTAGTTTGATGATTACTCTTATGTCGTTGAGGTTATAACACTATTTGGACCCTAATTAATAAACACTTATTTATTTGTTTAAGAAAAAACTAGTATAAAATACATAATTTAACATATAATATGTATTTGAAATAATGAAAAACACGACATGAAATTTATGGACTTTATATATTATAGTGTCAGAACAGTAGTGTTGCTTGAAAATTGTTAACTTAATATGAAATTGGTCTTTACAAGTACTTGGATTAGCTTTGCCATGCTATTAGTGTTAGAAACTATTCCTATCATACGTGGCAAACTTTGTCGAAACTAGTATAGCAACTAAATTTACCAGTTGCAAGTACCTGGGGCAAGTTATCCTCTCGGTAGCCGCAATATTTAACAAGTTGTGGCCAATTTTCTAGATATTCATCACATGCGTGTTTCTGGTACAGTTTATGCAATTCTCGGAACACGATACCCCTATAACAGAAATTTAAAATAAAATTCATGTAAGTATTGACAAAAATGATAAAATGGTGGCACACTTATGGCGGAGCCCGTTATAGAAATTATTTCAAAATATTTCTAAAATTGTAACATTTTCAATGACAATTTCAATTGATCTTAGACTTTTAATTGAAACAAAAAGCTTATTTGCTAAAAGTGGTTCAAAAAACTTCATTATGATTCCTTTCAATCAAGCCTTTTATTTAAAATTATCAAGCCTTTGGATTATTCTAATAACGTACCACTGGATTTGGAAAAATGGAAAAAAAATTATATACCTTTAATGAAAAAGAAGGAGAATTAAATAAAGTATAATATTTGTAACATTTCCTTAACTAAAAATTTAGATCCACGTAAGTCAAAAAAATCCACTCCAGAATCACTAACCTCTATATATACAAGTACTCTGGACTGGCTATACCCTACAAAATGTTTGCGCCGATTGAAGCACCGCCATCGTTCGTACTGGGACCTAAAATTGACATAATATGCCAAATTCTGATGTGTTGTTTAAGTCTTATACCAAATATGTTTGATTTTAGCTATATAATGAGAATTATTTTTAGTAATAATGGGAGTATGGTTAATTTGCTAAATACGTTACCAAAAGAAAAGCACCCCGCTTCAAACAAGTGGGTAAACATTCTACAAGTAGGTGAATGTACAGCTAATACTTAAAAATTACACTATTTTATGATAAAAGTACTTAAAATTTTGTTACTTATCTCAATATCGTAATTATCAACATGTTTGATTTATATGACAGAGTTTTGATAAACAATAAAATTCAATAAAGTTGTCGAGTTCCTTCTCTGTAATATTTATCCAGGTTCTTTTCTACTCATATCTGTTAACAACTAAAGTCACCGACAACAGATAATTACCAAATGTTACTGTTGTTATTGATTCAACTCTTGGGTAACAATAGCCAGTATTGGCTACTCCTTGTTGGAAAAACGCAAACGAACTTATCTGAGTGTAAGACCAAAGAGTAAAATTATTCGAAGGTAAGTTACTCTGGTGTAACATGGTATTTGGACAAATCAACCCTTAATAAAATATTTTTATTACATAATAAATATATAAATAACTCTGTAATAATAATATGGTATTTGTCCCGTCACGGTTCTTTGAACGATGTCATCTGAAGAGCTCGTGTCTCTATAATTGTTTACTTGGTTTTGAAGCTTTGTAGAGTATATAGAGACGACGGCAGAAGACCCAATTGTATGCGTGAGATATATATATATATATATATATATATATATATATATATATATATAGTTTTAGTGTGAGGTACCACTTATAAAGACGCTTTAGCAGCTTCTTATCGCAGGTGTACTCCGTTTATAGTAGGGGAGCCCTCAGAGGCAACTGAACTAAGTAAGTAGCCCAAATATGTGTATCTGAGAGATGAGTACATATTTGAGCCATTTGATGTAGAGAATTTCGGTCCATGAGGTTCATGTGCAGTGAAGTTTCTAAAAATGTTGATAAGAAGGCTGATTTTCTCGCTCAAAGGCTAAGTATATTCATTCAGAGAAAAAACGCAGCCAGCGTTATTAGCACTACACCGCGGGTAGTAAGACTGTAGGCTAATTTCAGTTTTTAGTTTTTTTATTGTAATTTTTGAACATTGTAATTTAATTTTCGAAAATGAAGTTGTAAATAACTAATAACTATGTAAAAAGTTATAATATATATAATAAAAAAGTTTACATATTTTTTTATGTTGCTTGATAGTAACGACTTGATAGTAACAATACGATAAGCGCGCCACCTAGAGTAAGTTAATTTTACTATGCCCATATGCTGCAAGTGCAAGCAATAATTTGAATAAGTTTTACCGTAATCTGATGAACGGCATGGCAGTGCATAATACGCGAACAAACAAGTTTAAATTTTCGTATATTAGAATATATACTTGATTCTGTTTATAGACAGACCTGTAAATAATTATAATAGGCGTTATTTTAGCAGCTAATTTGTTTTCTATAAATCTAGAACCGAATAAATTATATGCGAAATTATGTTTTTGTTTTTATTTCGTATATACCAGTTAAATATTTTCCAGCACTAATTTAATATTTAAGTCTCGCGAATGAATGAACCAACATACCCAATGTTGAAACTCTGAGCAAAATGTGCAGTTACGAATAAAAACGTAGATAGACCAACGCAGCATCGATTTTGGTTTTATATGAGGTATAAAGCTTGCGTCTAAGGTCCGTTAATTCCGGTTAATTCCGTAGACGTTCACTTCTGCTGTCATCGCCAAAATGGCGAAAATCAAATCGCTTCATTATGTTACGGTGTATAGCCAGTCAATATATAGAGGTCAGTGCTCCAGAATGCAATAAAACCTTATCCGATTAAATCTAGTAGTTACAATATACTCATAAATTATAGTTTTGTATAGAAGTACCCGTTTATATATTTATTATTTATCCTATATTATATATTAAGTAAGTACGTATATTTTTGTTTTATATCTTTATTATTTATTTATGAAGTGATTGATCACACCTGCCACAGTTTCTCAAATCATCCAGGGTTGACTGGCAGAGAATGCCATAAGGCATTAAGTCCGCCCTTTATGTCCCTTTATATATAAGATGTTTAATAAAGATGAAATAAATAAATAAATAAATTAATTATAACAGGCACTCAAATCTCAAAAAGACAAAGAATATAAGAATAAAAAGTCATTATACGACAGCGGAACACTACATTAAATACATACAATATTTGATATGCGTATTTAACACATGGGTAGAACACTTATATTTTATGCCTACTATACATGTTTCTCGTTTCTTTTTCTCCATGATTGATTATAATATAAATGAGTGAAAGTTTGTGTGTACCGAGCAGTATGATGTATTTAGGATTGTACTCAAACCTCAACTCCGACAACGTTTACTATTTAGTATTACCATTTTGGTACCATCAAAGAGATAAAAGAATAGTTGTTAAAACTATTAGACAGAAATATGAAGTAATTATTATTAGGTATAACATAACTTTTAAAATCGGTATGGCAAATAATTCGCGAAGAGGCACTGATATAATAAAACGTACCAAATGGTGGGAGAATTGTACACTCTGTTTAATCTCAACGAATAGTTTTAATCAAATGATTTTAATATGAATCGTACGAATTTCATGACTGAAACCACAAAACACATAACAATCATCATCAGCAGCAGTTATTAAATAGTTCTCACTTGACTATAAACTTTTTTGTTGGAAACTATTCAGAGAGAAAATTTAAACAAATCAATTTAAAATTTTAACGATCAAAGTAAATATCAATAAATTAAAGAAAAATTCGCTTGTGCTTAAAACTGTTAGTTTTGCAAAATAATAGTGTAAATTTTTTTCAATTATGCACGAAACAAAAATAATACGAGAGAAAAGTATCTTACCAAGTTTTGATCTCAGTTTCTGTATACTGTACTCTAGGAATAGGCTGGCCACTGAAATAAAAAAAAACTTAAAACTCTGAATGTGTAATTGTTTTAAACAACGAGTGAAATAATATTTTCTTTGTGGCATATCAAATTCAAAAGATGTGTAAGTATTAACTTCATTCATAAAAAGGGAACTCAAATCAAACATTGATTCTTACTATTTATAATTATTGGCTATTGCAGAGAAATGTTCTCTCCTTTTACGGTAGACGGGATCTTTAAAACCTGGATGATCGGCATCTAACTCCGAGCCATACATGAGAACATTTTGAGCTCGGTCTAAATCAGAAATCTTGCGAGGAAACCAAGGCATTTCTCCATAATCTGAAATTGAATACACAATATTTTACAAGTTTTGGTACAATCGGCCTAAGGGTTTTGTTTGCGATATATTAAAATATTATTTCGGAGATAGAAGTTAAGGTAAATATAAATTTTAGAACTTAATTTTAATATGAAATTTACGAAAACTTAATTTTGAATGTAGCAAAATAAATAAGAGTCTTTAAACGTACACTGCAAGGATTGTTATTATTATTTAAAAACATAGATTTAAAAACACGTTCATTATGGAACAAAGGCCTCCACAGTAGATTGCTCCATAAGGCGAATTTTTCCTAGGCGAAGACTGATTGGAAAAAATGCGGTGGCAGTTTTTTAGTTATTTTGAGTTATTGTCAGTAAAATGCGGCTGCCCTGTTTCTGTTTCCCTTTGTTGCCTCTTACGGACCCACTGGATGACTTGGGGTACTTAATTCTCCTATGCCGCCACTTATTATAAAATTATTTACTCCATATCATTTATTAATAAAATAAAATTAAAATACCAAAACTGGTTGCAGCAGAAAGAGGAGTTGGCGGAGCAAATACTTTTCCGGTCTCCTGTGAAACTAATTCGAACTCCTGAACCTCACGCTTAAGCATACGTTTCAAATGTTCCATTCTGCGAGGGTCACATTCCACGTCTACCAGAATATCAGCCTGCAATTGATAAATGGACAATATTAATTAAAGTTATATCTTACTTATTATTCTAAGCATAAACCAATACAACTTACAGCCGAAATCTCCGTCATAGATTTCCTGGATTCAATGTGAAGTACGTTAATCCCTAAATCTTGAAAAACTGATAGAACTTTTACAAGTCCTCCCACTTGATTCTTTAAAGTGAAAATAACTGATATTTTTTCGCCGTCAAGATGCTGTGCCTCTTGAGGACGAGTAACTTCAAACTTAGAATGTTGATGAGCTTCACCCTTCATTTGCCAGTCTGAACCATTTCTATACAACCACAATCCCAATAGCCCTTTTCCAGAACCGCTCATGATTAACGTTACGCTGATAGCTTTAGACGAGAAAATATTTGATTATAACTAAACTGTTTTAGATATATAATTATTAGTGTGTGTATTAAGTATATAATGTATTTTTATTTTAAAAAATATGCGTTGATGCAAGGATAAAAGCAAACTGCGCCTCGCCCTCTTCTCTCTTCCCTTTATAAAGAGAACAGGCGCGGGAGACTTGACGGAGGGTGGGTATATTTGATTGGCTGAATCAAGTGTTCGGTGTAACTTAGAAAATCTTTTCAGACCGTTAAGTCGCGAACACACTGAAACTGTTATAAATTTTCAGTTAACTATAAAAATGCTTAAATCTACAAAATGTGCATATACTCAAGTCATCGTTAATTCATGATATATGAGACATATAAAAAATTATTTAGAAATTATGCCCTTATTTAATAGAGAATTGCTCCAGATTAAAAATGTAAATAATAGCAACTAACTATATATTTACTGAATTTAATTTCAAAGTCTTTCAAATATAGGCTTATAAGCACTAAGAAATCAAACAATTCTTTAGAGTATAACAAGTTACGGGAAAAATATTATAATCTGCCAATTGATTGAACAGTGACAAAAAAGCACACGGGCCATCTGATGATTAGAGAATGCTGGGGCTCCTAAACACTCAAATCTAATATCGATGAAGCATCAGAATGCATGCAATGATGGATTGCCTTTTAACTAGTCGAAAAGGTCTTCAGTTCTCGATACTTTGGTATTTTAAGCTGGTATTCTGTGCTAATTTGGTCCCTATTCATACTGTATATCTAGCACGTAAGTTGACTACTAATGGGCTAATAGAAATGAGGAGAAAGAAAATTTTAAAGTCAAATAATACTCGTATGCTTTTTTAACCGAGTTTAAAAACGAGGGGGTGCTGTATTTGTCGCGTATGTTTTTTTTTATGTACGTTAACGGATTTCTCGAAAATGGCTGGAATTATTGAATGATTTTCCTTTTGTTGAATCGGCATACTTAAAGATTGTGCCATAAGCTTGAAGAAAAACGTCTAATACTAAGGATGAGAAATAGTGAATGAAGAGTTAAGTATAACTGTTGAGATTTTATTTTATTTGTTAAAAATTCCGTTGCGAAATCGCAACCTTGCTCTGAACGTTCTCAGCTGACATTGCCACACTTGGCAAGCGGGTTGGCAACCGCAGTTTTTTGTTGTAGTCGTTATTAGAAAGACGCTGCTACTAAATTTCCTGATTTATTTCCCTGTGCCGCCTCTTACGACACCGGGTAATGGATATTCTTACACCGACACCACAAGGTTTTTCTTAGCCCGCTCAAAATGGTAATATAAACGTTTTTTAAGTCGTTTGTTTTTTTCTTTTTATTTAAAGTTCGTTTATTATCTACATTAATAAACGAAATGGTCTGATTCCGTGTGTCTGTTATCGTCTCGACACCCACACTTATGCAGTAACTTATAAAGCATAGAATAGAACACAGGGAGAACCTACCTTGTAGCCGGTGCCTGACGGGTGTTAACGCTCGAGTCACTGTATTTATTACCATTGTTTAGCGAAAAGAGCATCCCATGTCATTCATTATCTGATAGACCCTGCCATTTAGTTTTTATCATCTCTTTCACGTTTACTGAATGTCAGTACCGGCAAAAATGGTGAATATTATACAATTGAAAATTATGTGTTCGTTTTCAGTTTTATTTCTAAGATACTTTATCCATATGTTAAGGGTTTGTATTTTGATGCTATTTATGACTTTAATTTATTTTTAACGATGGAGTAACTAACTTATCCCCGCCTCGCGGCGGAGAAGGCGCTATAACGGGATTGCACCAACCAAAACTGCTTAATGTCCCTACATGAGAACGCTCTCGTATATATTCGTAGCCTCACCAGCGACAGTCATCCATGCCAAGCCCCTCCTCAGAAGGTGAATATCATAATTAACTTACTTTACCCGTAAAACCATCACCTGAACCGTCATCCAATAAAATTATTCAGTATATTTGATGCTATACATGTAAAAACTATCAGCTTATATCCGTCCAATACAGAACAGAATACAGAACAACGTTTAACAGTTAGCACATTCTAACTGTTGAACGTTGTTCTAGTGTACTAGTGTATGTTCACAGACCCCAACCAAATAAAGATTTCCGTTTGATGGTTTTCTTTACGGCCAAAGATGTACTAATCATCTCGAAAAAACATTTAATTGACAATTTCTACTCTGCATGCTCCAGTACACTATAAAAACATTACATTGTGCTTATAATATCTCTGGGGTTAGGGAACTCATCATTCCATTACGACCCGTGGGTGTCTAAAATGGCAGTGGGAGAAGCCTAGTCTTAGCCTATAAATGTTCCACTGCTGGGCACAGACTTCTGTTATTTCTAAGTGGATAAAGGGACTTTTCATTTGTCGTGCATCTACAATGCGTAGTGGCATAAAACACATGCCTACATATTTTTATTCCTTAGACATGCAGGTTTATTCACGATGTATTTCATCACCGCCGAACACTATTGCTATTTGCTTATGTTATTATATTTTATTATGCTATTTACCACTTGTTTAATGCGAAAGGTGTCAAACCCGGTATACTTTGGCTGGGAACCCTTGAGTATATCCTTACACATAAATGCCACATGCGAAATATCCAGGCAGATGACGAGAGGCAGTGACAAAGGTATGAACGCCTACTAAACACGGCGGTAATAATATTTCTATGTATTAATTAAACGTAGTCATTAATTATATTTCAAGGTTTAAGGTTCCTTCTTTGAAGGCCTTCGGCAATGGCACTTTTCAGTCTGATGAAAGAAAAACGATATTAATTATTACTTAAGGACTTTGGATAGTACATTAAATACTTTGTGAACAACGTCAGATGGTTTACCAATTTCGAATTTTTACTAGACTTGTAAAATACCCACTCCAGATACGGAAAGCGACGTCAAACGTGTGAAATTTTGTTTGTATGATTGAATTCTAAATGTAATGCATTCTTATTCTATAAAGCTCTATATACAACATGTACAATTTCGCCACCTACGATGAAGGATGATAATGTAATGCAATTAAATAGCAACATTATCAATGTTTTTTTATTACTTAACACAATGTAGCCGTTAGCCAGATGAGCCAAGTCTGAAGAAAGAACCATAATTTACGGTATTTTTTTTTAAATTGATATTTACTTTATGTGGGTTTCTCTTTCTTTACTAAATGATTTGAAAGGAACAGTTATAGAGTAAATTGACATGTAAATATAAACGGAAGTGTATGCCTGTAATAAGACAACTACTGGTTGCGCGGAAATTCGTAAATTCATTCGTAATTTTATTTTTATTCGACGGTATGCTTGCCAAGATTTGTCCTTCTTTCGACCCTTCCTTCACCTGTTGCCCTTCGTACACACCGGGGTGGTGGGGTGAGAGGGGAAAGAAGATGATTCTAGAATATCGCGTGATTTGCAACCAATAAGCAGCGCGCCCCTCCGAGACGCATTGATAAGAGGGCCGAAGTAATATAAGCTAGCACACGGCACTTGCGCGCTCTCTTCCCTTCGCGCACCAGTTGGAACCACACCGCCTAGGACAGTCGAGTCCTAGAGGGCTTTACCCACGCGCACCGCTAGTTCAACCGCATTAGCCCAGAGCAGTCGAGTTCCGGGAGTAACCGCCTCACCTCGTGTGAGAAATAGTCGCGCATTGCTCTCTTCCATCGCATCACCGGACAATAACGCATCTCTGGGACCCCAGAGAATCCGCCAGAAGTCGCACCGCAACAACAAAGCGCCCAAGTCGCAACGAAGCAACACCCCGGTGAGTAACTTCCAGTTATAAGCCCGCTTGACATAATTGTATTTATTAGTTAATCCGCTCCAATTACATTTTCTCCTGGCGTGATCAAGCGGGATTCCTTCATAGACTTTGGCAAGCAATAGTTCGTTTAGGGAAGAGCGAGTGCATTGTCAGGAAAACCGCATGCTATAGTCGCGATTTTATGGAGACGGAAGAAGCCATCCGCTTATGCAATCCATTTGGTGTAACATCTCGCGTAATAGGCTTAAGGCTCGACCGGTAAATTGGAATTCGGTAACCTTAGGCCCGTCGCTCAACCATTTTCTGATCCTTCGGCCGGATTTGGACTGGTGCTTGTAGCCTCACCGTCCATTCAGTCATCGAATTGTTGGATTGATTCCTTAGACAATGCACTCTACTAATTGCACTTAATGTTGAATAGATTCAAATAGTGTTGTTCAGTTTAAATTTAAACTTTGGTTAGTTATTCGCAAATAGAATTCATTCATTTAAATAGTGTTTGTTTAGTTTAAATTTAAACTTTGGTTGGTTATTCGCAAATAGAATCATTCTTTAAAAATAGTTTAATCCCGCACGGTTTATGCGATTACCCAACATTTGAAAAAACATTGAGTTTAGCGAGCGACACGCGTCACCTCGGCCCGTTGTAAAGGCGTTCAATTTAACGACGTAATATGACACGCGTGTCCATCCTCCAGCGTTATGCGATTAATTGTGATTAATCTAATATTAATTATAATAATTTAAAATGGCAGTTGGTGGAAATGAAATTAAACTTAAAACTCTTTACGCCAAGAGGGACGTACTCTTTTCCCGTATACAGTATATTAGTGATCACGTAAAGAACATTAACGTAGAAACAGTGCGGGAAACGTTTTTGTGAACTTGAAACGGTGGACTCTTTGCGGACAGATTATGAAAGGGTATTAGACCAAATTAATAATTTGGAATTACAAATCGACCCTAAATATACAGTAAAGTATCAACCGCTTCTAGCATTTGAAGCTATGTTGTGTCGCATGAAAAAACGGCGAAGCTCTTGCAGTCCCCATCTCTAAGCGAAGCAAAGCCGGAAGCCCAGGTACGCCCACGTGATTCGATTAGGTTGCCCCCAATAGATATTCCGGTATTCAATGGCGATATTAAGACATGGCCCTTCTTCTTCAGTAGT